TTTTTTTGTATATGTATGGTTTATACTTAGTATATTTTCGGTATATGATAAAGAAATTTATCACGAGACCTAATTTTTATGTATAAAATCTATTTAAAAATAGCATAAACTGAAATTTTTTGTTGGTATTGTGTATATGTATGGTTTTATATTAAGTAATCTGTTATAATATGTTTTTAAACTATATATATATATACTTTTATGTATAAAAGAAAAAAAGAGGAAGAAACAATGTTTAATGGAAGACATTTTTTTCATTGCAACATATACTGAATATATACTAACATAAACGCAATATATACCAGCCGCGTGAATTAAGAAATTTCAGTTGCGCACATATACTGAATATATACTAACATAAACTCAATATATACCATCTGAAAGCTACTTGAATTAAAGAATTCCAGTTGTGCACATATACTGAATATATACTAACATAAACTCAATATATACCACCTGGGAGCTGCGTTACTGAATATATACTAACATAAACTCAATATATACCACCTGGAAGCTGCGTGAATTAAAGAATTCAAGTTGCGGGAATTAAGGAATTAAATGTGAATTAAAGAATTCAAGTTGCGGGAATTAAGGAATTAAATGAGTAAATCACGCCACCAAAGGATAACTGATATGGATAGAGGACGTTACAAAAGGTAACTGATATTTTGGCAATCACGTAAATAAAATAGCTTGATTAAGTATATATCCTATTAATTGTTCTAGGAAGCTAAAATTGAAAATTCTTTTATTTCATGTAGTGTGTAAAAATTTCCCTAATTATTTTGGCCCAATTGAGTTAAAAACTCGGCCTCTTTCTTCCTTCTTCTCTTTTTCTTTTTCCCCTGCGCGTAGATGGTGTTCTGTTCCGATTAATTGGGCGAGATTTTTCTTCCTCTCTCTCGCACGACTCTCGCTCTCTCTTGCTTAAGACCCGGCCAAATCAGTGGGTTCCTTTCACTCCTCTTCATCGTTCAAAATTGTTCCTCTATTCTTCTCGCATCTAGCAGATCGCCTTCTCCGAAATACCGATCAGAAAAATCCCAAATCTCGTCTATTCATTTCGCTTTCTCCCAAATCGTTGCAGCCCAGCAACAAATTCCGGAGAACTGAAGCTCCAGCTCTCTCCGGCGAGAAGACGAGCGGCGACCCGCGACCTCCGACGGGGCTTCGACCTTCGCGAGCCCCAACCATTTCCGGCGAACAGAGTAGCAGCCGAGGGCTGACCTTTCACGGCAGAATCAGATCGACACCTCTCAATTTCACTCCGCTCTCAAAATACGCTCTCTCCTCAACCGGCTTGCAGATACCACAAGGCGACCCGCCTCAACTTCCTGTCACCGGCGTACCGTCTCTCTGACCAGTTTGTAGCCAGATCGTGCGTGGGCCACCGAAATCCGCCGGAGACGCAAAGATCACGAACCATGGTGGGCGACCAGCGAGAGTCACCACCGTGAATTTCCATCGCCATTGTTTCACCCCAGCCCAACGACAATCTCCCGGAGTTCCAAGCTCCGACCGGTGAACGTTCGCACGCTCGACCATCGTCCGACGGGCCTCGACCTCTGGAATGTCGGGCCTCGATTTCTGTCTGGCCACGGCTGCCCCCGAGCCCGGCCATTTTTTCAATGAATTCGAGCTCTCGACGTCAGCCCTGTTCAGCCCGTCCTTCGGCAACTCGGGAACCTTCGATTTCCAGCCGTCGTCCGCAGCAGCACCCCGTCGAGGAGCTTCAGCTGCGTTTCCTCGAGTAGCAGACCCTCGAGCAACAGCCGCTGGTTGAGATGAGCCCCTGTTCGTGCTCGTTTAGCCGCCTCGAACCATAAACTGTAACGAGAGCCGACGGAGGCAGCCGCGCCCCGACAGCCTCTACTGAATGCGCCTAGCAAGTCACCGTGTGTTGCTGCGCATCAAGCTATCGTACAACCCCTTTTCAGACCCTACCATCCTCGTGTGTAGATTCCGAAGCTGAGGTGAAAGTCTAGTTTTCCCTTATATCTTCGTGAATTTAGATTTCTTTGTGTGAAATTCGGATCTTTCGAGTTGTATTGGAACAACGTTGCCTGTACCTCATACGTTTGTGATTGATGTATGCTACTGCTAATGTGAGGTCTGAGTTAGTCTGTTTGTTTTTGTTTATCTAAATTATCATATGATTGGTGATTATTTTGAGTATATTGGGTGGAGCTTTGCTTGGCCTTAATTTGCTGTCCTCTTCCCATGCGTTTTCCATGATGAAATTATGTGATTTATGGCTGAGTTTGGCATGCTGAAATGAATACATTCTCAAAGCTTTATTTTCAGTTTAAAAGAGTTAGAAAAATGGCAGGTTTAAACTTGGTACCCTTTTAAGAAAATGAAGGGATTTTTGTGTTGTTGTGCGCATGTTAGTACCTGATGTTTTGAGCATTTTTCGTTGTGATTTATATGCTGAGCTTCTTGTGTGTGAAAATGTTGTTTTCTTATGTGTATATTTTGAATTTGAATTGCTGTTAGTATGTGGTTTGTGTGAGTGTCATGCTCTTTTTCGTTTGATTTCATTAAGAAACTTGGGCTTTGTCAAATGTCTTTTGATTTTGTAAATTTGCTAAGGTTTTGTTATTGTCTTTATATTTGGAAAGGAAAATCTAAAGGAGTATGTTGGGAGCATTTGTTTTTGTACTCGATGAATTCAAATTTAAATCACAACTTTTGTTATATTTTGGTTTTGATATAAAATGGTTGTTATCCAAATGTTGAGAGCGGTCTTATGTGCATTTATCTTTAATTATTTTGTTGTTGTTAATATGTGTTTATTTGTGAGTTTAAATTTTTTCTTAAAACATGATCTAAGTGTTGGTCTTATTCAAGAGAATGTGGTTTCAGAGAAGTTATAAAGTTTATGTGATCTTATCTATTTATTTTGGCCAAATTATGTGTTCTTATCTATAGTATGTGCTATATGTGTTTTAATGTGTTGTTCAGCATTTCAATCAAAACCATCATAATAATAGGATTTAATAATAAAATGTAGGTGTTTGACGAGCCGTGCTCTCATCCTACCAACTCTTGTGTACTATTTGCTACTCCGGTATCCAGGTAGGATTTAATAATAAAATGTAGTTGTCTCGATAGCTTTTGTATGCGTGAGAACCCTAGTCTAAGTGTCCCGACGGTAGTGCCTTTGACGAATGCATAATCAGTGGAGGTCACCTGCCCGTTGCATCCGGGAGGTGGACGCCCGAATCCGTGTAGAGCGGAGGGGTAAACCAGCTCCACTGTCTCCTGGATAAGATCCTATGCCGTTGCATCTGGGGTGGGAATGCTTCCAGTTACATCCTCGCCGATGTCTGGTCGGGAGGTTTGTCATACATTATTTATGGTTTTGAATCTTTATGCGGGATATACTGTGCGGTAATGGTGAGCATAATTGTTTTGCTCACCCCCATTCTTTTTCTCTTTGTCTCTTCTTCCTTTCTTTTAGGTTGAGCTGGGGGCCATGGCGGAAGGCGAGCGAGGCAGGGTCATCTTATCTGTTATTCTTGAACTGTTTTACTTGCTTCCGCCTGTTTATTATTATTGATTTATCTGTCAGACATGTTAAATTATTGAGATTGGAAACTGAATTATGTATTTGGATATTTTGTATGCTATTATGAAATCGAATATTCTTATGATGAAATTTATTCGAGATTATTATCGTGTGAAAATCGAACCATTGTTTTCTAGGATTTTTTTTATCATGCTCGGGATTTATGAAACTTGAATAATATTTGGAATTTGGTTTGATTTGGATATTTCACATGATGGAATAAATGTTGTATAACTTGAGATTTGAATATGGGATGGTTGTATCCTGATAGTTAAGTGACTTAACTGTTGATATGTGAAATTTGAGTAGCGCCCGTTAAATAAACCTTTAAATTGATTTGCGAAAAATTAATTCTGATCTTCGGAAAAATAAAATATCATTTTTCTTTTAAAAATAACGGAGCGTTACAACTCGTCTTCTCCCCAACCCTTCTTGCGAGCTGGTCGAAGTCGAGCAACGATTTCAGCAGCTTCATGGCTGATAAACGTAAGTTTTTCAACTCTTCTTCTCCCCAACCCTTCTTGCGAGCTAGTCGAAGTCGAGCAACGATTTTAGCAGCTTCATAGCTAATAAACGTAAGTTTTTCAACTCGTCTTCTCCCCAACCCTTCTTGCGAGCTGGTCAAAGTCGAGCAACGATTTGAACAGCTTCTTAGCTATGAAACGTAAGTTTTTCAACTCGTCTTCTCCCCAACCCTTCTTGCGAGCTGGTCGAAGTCGAGCAACGATTTTAGCAGCTTCATAGCTGATAAACGTAAGTTTTTCAACTCGTCTTCTCCCCAACCCTTCTTGCGAGCTGGTCGAAGTCGAGCAACGATTTTAGCAGCTTCATAGCTGATAAACGTAAGTTTTTCAACTCGTCTCCTCCCCAACCCTTCTTGCGAGCTGGTCGAAGTCGAGCAACGATTTTAGCAGCTTCATAGCTGATAAACGTAAGTTTTTCAACTCGTCTTCTCCCCAACCCTTCTTGCGAGCTGGTCGAAGTCGAGCAACGATTTTAGCAGCTTCATAGCTGATAAACGTAAGTTTTTCAACTCGTCTTCTCCCCAACCCTTCTTGCGAGCTGGTCGAAGTCGAGCAACGATTTTAGCAGCTTCATAGCTGATAAACGTAAGTTTTTCAACTCGTCTCCTCCCCAACCCTTCTTGCGAGCTGGTCGAAGTCAAGCAACGATTTTAGCAGCTTCATAGCTGATGAACTTAAGTTTTTCAACTCGTTTCTTCCCCAACCCTTCTTGCGAGCTGGTCGAGGTCGAGCAATGATTTCAGCAGCTTCATAGCTGATAAACGTAAGTTTTTCAACTCGTCTTCTCTCCAACCCTTCTTGCGAGCTGGTCGAAGTCGAGCAACGATTTTAGCAGCTTCGTAGCTGATAAACATGCTTGAGAGCGTCGCTCGTTTGTGGAAGAGTTCTCTCACTTGAAAACGTCTGGTTCGGACCTTTTTATCGAAAGCTGCATGCATCCTCTGTTTTTACTCGACGGATCGTACCCAAGCTTCCTCTTGTCCTTCTTCGATTATATCAAGGGCCTCCTCGACCATTTCCTCGTAGAATGTCGACCTGTGGGAGTTCAAGCCGACTTCTACTGGTAGGAGTGCGTCCATTCCGTAACCATGTGAAATGGAGATTGACCTGTTGAACTTCTCGGAGTCGTCCTATAAGCCCATAGGACCGCTGTTAGCTCGTCAACCCAAGCCCCTGAGGCCTTCTCCAATCTCTTCTTTAGTCCTTGGAGAATAGTTCTGTTTGTTACTTCGACTTGACCATTTGCCTGAGGGTGTGCAACTGAAGCAAATCGTTGTTTGATCCCCATGCCGAGGCACCATGCTTGAATTCACTTCCTTTGGAATTGAGTTCTGTTATCTGATATCCGCACTTTCGAAACCCCAAATCGGCAGCAAATATTGTTGAACAGGAATTGTATCATCCTCTCCTTGGTGATTCGCGCCAAGGGTTCCGCCTCGACACATTTGCTGAAATAGTCGACTGCGACCACCAAAAATTTTCTCTGTCCCGTCCCCATTGGTAGTAGTCCCACCAGGTCGATTCCCCACTGAGCGAAGGGGATCGGGCAGTTGATTGTCGTCATGGATTCAGCTGGGATGTGAGGAATTCGACCGTGACGCTGGCATCTCTCGCATTCTCGTACTAATTGTTCGGGCATCTTTCGGATTTTTGGCCAATAATAGCCTGCTCGCAAGGCCTTGCCCGCTAAAGCTCCAGACCCTACATATGCTCCGCAGCATCCTTCGTGAATTTCTTTTAGGACATAACTTCCCTCCTCTTCGGAAATACAATGTAAATAGGGCCCGACCAACGACTTCTTATACAAGACCCCCTCGACTTCAAAGTATTTGCTCAAATATCGAGCAACTTTTTCCGCTTCCTGCTTGTCTCCTACAGGTACTCGATCCTGCAAGAGTTCACGAATCGGTTTCCTCCAATCGTCGACCTCCATTGTTTCACCCAAGACACTTCCCTCTAAGTGCATGGTGGTAATGTGATTTCCCAACTTTCCTTCATTTGAACTCGCAATTCTTGCGAACCAGTCGGCTCGCTTGTTTTCCTCTCGTGGGACTTCCGTTAGCTCAAATTTCTCCAATCCTTGCACAAGGCTTTGGATTTCCTCGACATATTTCCGCATTCGATTCTCCTTAATTTCACAATCTCCCAATACTTGTCCAACGACGAGTTGTGAGTCAGAATGTGCCACGATCTTCGTCGCTCCGCCACCAATTGCGAGTTGAATTCCTTTGATTAGTGCTTCATATTTTGCTTCATTGTTTAAGGCCTTGAACCCCATCCTGATGGCAAAGTCGAGCTGCTCGCCCTCGGGAGACACGAGGACGACTCCCAAACCAGATCTTTTGGCCGCGGAGAATCCATCGACACGCATTACCCATTTCTTCTCTTCTCTTTTGGTGCCCTCTTGGATAAAATCTGCCAAATCTTGAGCCTTTATGGATCGTCTGGGCTCATATTTGATGGAGTATTCGCTCAACTCGACTGCCACTTCACGAGCTGACCTGAGACAGTAGGTCGACCCAAGGTTTCTCCGAGTTGAAAGTTTGTCCTCACCACTATCACATGATTCAGAAAATAAGGCCTCAATTTTCTAGCCGTTATCACTAACATTAAAGCAGCTTTCTCGACCTTAGAATATCTCGTCTCCACACCCTGGAGTACTCGACTAGTGTAGTAAATCGGCTGCTGAGAACCTCCTTCTTCTCGCAGCAGCACCGAACTTAGAGAAACCACTCCCACCGAGATATATAACACTAACTCGTCACCAGGCTCCGGTTTGGTCAGCAAGGGCAGCTCGCTCAGGAATTCTTTCAACTTTTCGAATGCCATTTGCGCCTCGTCACTCCACAGGAAAGTCGTATTCTTTTTGAGCAATTTGAAGAAAGGAAAACTTCTCTCGGCCGCTCGAGCAATGAACCTGCTCAACCCTGCGATTCTTTCCGTTAAGACTTGTACTTCTCTTATGTTTCTCGGTGGTGCCATGTCGAGTATAGCCTTCACTTTTTCCTTGTTCACCTCGATTCCCCGCTCTGTCACAACGTATCCTAGAAATCGTCCCGCCTTTACTCCAAGACGCATTTGCTCGGGTTCAAATTCATCCCAAATGCTCTAAGGGTTTTGAACGTTTCCCTTAAATCGTCCGGGTGTGAAGTCGAGGATTTGCTCTTCACCAGGATGTCATCAACATACACTTCCATAATTCGGCCAATCTGGGATTTAAACATGCGGTCCATC